AATGCTTGCAATCCGTTCACAATTCTATCGCTTCCTTTCCTCCCCTGCTCACATCTTGTCCCTTCTGCTGCTGAATTAGGCTAGAACGCTTCTGACATTCATGATCTGATGGATCTTCAGTAGTGTATGGTAGAGCCCAGTTGACTGGATGCCAATTTAAAACAGTTGGGCTATGTCTAATCTCGCGGCTTCTTGCGCAAGTACGGCCGTTCTTGCGCAAGAATCTGCAGAGCATCCACACTGCCCGCCCGCTCTTGCGCAAGGAAATTTACAGTACGGCGTGGGAAGAGAGGGCTCCTTGCGCAAGAGCAATGCTCATTTTTATCAGGCATAAGCCCTCTTGCACAGGCGCTCTTGCGCAAGAGGGCAGTGTGGACACTCGGCAGGGATTTCTTGCGCAAGAAAGCCCTATGGCTAAAATGGCCGTTGGAGCTTTCTTGCGCAAGAGAGCATCCACACTGCCATGGGAGTTCTTGTGCAAAAGCACCGCTCGCACATGGCAGCGTGGAACTCTTGCGCAAGATGTTTTTGCGCAAGAAGCCGCCAGTGTGGACATAGCCTTGGAGATCAGGTTCAGTCAATATGTAACGAGTGCTGCACTTTTCCAGCTGATAGGTCAGATTGACTCAAGTCTAATTTACCATGTCACCCGCTAGTGGATGCAATCAGCATTGCTAAGGAACCCTAAAACTGTGACTCAAGCAGAAATGTTACTTGGGTTATCACCAGCAACTTCTTATAAACAAGTCTCCCAAACTCCAGTGTGGAAAATAAATGCAAAGTGGACTGGAGGGTCCCCAGTCACTCTGTCATGGATGTAAACTACTTTCTCTTCCTGAAGCTCAGCCTTTCCAGGATGGATCAAAACGAAAGTGTTTTAAGGAGGAAATTAGAAACACTCCATGGTATTCCCCTGTTCTGGAGTATTGTAGAAGAATGGGCCCAGGTGGAATCATTCCAGGCCAGGCCAGATGACCTTCTCATTGCCACCTACCCGAAATCAGGTGAGAGCTGCTGGCCTGTTAAGAGATTCTTCTCTTGCCGCTAGAGCTGTGCTGTACTGTGATGTAGTGGGGGTACTTGCTGGGCTGTGGTGACCCCTGCTGTCTGGAGCAAGACCCAGCAGGGAAAACCTCACTATGCAAAGGTAGTGCCAAACTTGTTGAACCAGTGGCCAGACACCCCCCATGGAGAGGAACAAAGGAAGGTGGAATGCTGCCCTGACTGGGGGGCAGGGCTGGAAGGGAATTTAGTTAGTTACTGTCTGAGAGCATGGAGGAGAGCCTAGGGGAAGGGGCTGGAGTTTGCTATAAGGGACGCTGTGAGCCCCTTACAGCTGCCATCAGGCGCCCCCCATAGGTTGGTGCCCTGGCCAGCTGCTCGGCTAGCCCGTGCCTTAATCCAGCCCTGAGTGCCGCTGTCCTGTTAAGAGATTCTTCTCTTGCTGCTAGCGCTGTGCTGTACATGGGTTTTTCTTAAAGGGAAGAGACTGAGAAGCCTTTCAGGCCAAACTGTAATGGGATTCCAGTGAGAGCTAGGCAAGTTCATAGAGGCAATAAACTTCCTCTATTCCACCGGCTGGTGCAGTCTGTTTGTGCCATTTCAGGGTGCAGGAGACGGGGAACCCCCAACGCGCCATCACATGTACATGGGTTTTTCTTAAAGGGAAGAGACTGAGAAGCCTTTCAGGCCAAACTGTAATGGGATTCCAGTGAGAGCTAGGCAAGTTCATAGAGGAGAGCTCCTCAATGGTGACCAGTCAAGAAGGCGCGGGATGCCCCTGGGTGTCTGTAGCCTCTGATTGCCAGAAGCTGGGAGTAGACAACAGAGAATGGATCACTCAATGATCATTGCCTCTGAAGCTCCTGGACACTGTCGGCAGACAGGACACTGGGGTAGATGAACCTTTGGTCTGACCCCGTGTGGCCGTTTTTGTGTTCTTAGCACTGTCGTAGTCTGTAGGCAGAAAACGGGTTAGAGCTAACTCCTGTGGCGAGTCTGTGGAGCAAGGGGCTAGGTGCTGAGGTGCTAACCCCACCTCTTTCACCTGAGGCCCCGCCCCTTCTAGGAGTGCGGGGGAAGTTACCTGGTGAAGTGCCAGGAGGAGCGGCCCTGAAGCCAGAGAGGAAAGAACTGAGTTACAAGGCTATTTTCTGTGGCTTTGCCTGCCTGCGCTATGTGAGACAGGAGAGGGGCCATGGCAGGGAGCGTCTGGCACCTGGGAAGAAAGCCGTGCCTAGAAACTGAATGAGGCCACGAATCCCTTTGTCCTAGCAGGGATGAGATCAAACCGTTTCGAAAGATTCCTTCCATGTTACGCTCTTAACAGCCATTACCCAGACTCTCCCTGCTGAGTGCGGGGACTGACGGTGGAATGAGCTCTCACTCAGTGTTCAGGAAGGCAAATTACTAGCTTGATTCTGAGCAGCAAGAGCAGGAAGTGAGGTCTCCTTTCACAGGACGGTCGCGTGGTCAGTGTCTTCCCTGCATGGCTCAGAGCTGAAAGATGATAGGGGTCTATCAATGCACACCTCCATTCTTATGTTATTTCTTTCACATAGGCCTAGAGCAGAATCTGCACTGGGACTTCAGGCAGTAGCAGAAACACTGTGATCTTACACCAGGTTTGGTGAGGTTGGACTGCCACAGTGATAGGCCCTTTGAGTGATTTTGCTGCCGACATCACCTATTCAAGCGCAGACCCAGAAAGCTCAGGAGCACTGTTGCTATAGGCTAGAAGGAATAGTCATTGGGTTAAACCGGATTAACACCATTGACTTCTATTCACACCTGCTGAGGACCTGACCTCATGCTCCAGACCTGTCTGCTGCCCACTAGAAGAGTATTTCACTAGTTTGCTTTATATTTCCAGGCACAACCTGGGTCAGTGAAATTGTGGACATGATCTATAACAACGGCGATGCGGAGAAGTGTAAGCGGGATGCGATTTACGTTCGGGTCCCTTTCATGGAGCTGATTGTCCCTGGAATCAAAAATGGTAAAACTTTGCACACTGTAGACAGGCTCCAGGAGTGTATGTCTACACTGCTACCCTAGTTCGAACTAGGGTGGCTAATGTAGGCATTCGAACTTGCAAATGAAGCCCGGGATTTAAATATCCCGGGCTTTATTTGCATGTTCCCGGGCGCCGCCATTTTTAAATGCCCCGTAGTTCGAACTACCTGCCCGCGGCTACCCGCGGCACGGACTAGGTGGTTCAAATTAAAGCTCCTAATTTGAACTACCATTACTCCTCATTACAGGACCACAGAGTTCTTTGGAATGGAAGACATAAGAACCCAATCCACCATCCACGAAAATCAATGGAAAGATTCCCACTGGATCTGGTCATTTATAAATGCAAACTGTCAATAGCATTAGGATCTTGCGCATGATGAACTTAAATGTAAACTGAAATGTTTTAGGGATAAGTTAATACAAAAGTGGATTAAGGGTGGAATTCTCAAAGGCATTTCTAGGAATTAGAGGAATTAGAGGCATTTCTAGGAATAAAAGACATGGGTGAAGGGAGAGAAGATTTCTCACAGAGCTTCACATAAGTACATTTCACTAGAATCAGAAACAGAAGTGAAGGACAAGGCTGATGAGATGATCCACTCGGACTCTCTGAAAACGACCCCTTTGGAAACTGCCTGATGTGCAGACAGCACTAGCGAGGGAGATTTCACCAACACCGTTTTCAGACCCAATGTCGGTTCTTCAGTTACTTAAGACTACTTTTATCCTTATCCACATTTATCTGGACTTCATCCAGCAGAGAGATACAGAATGGCAAGCAGCTCAGGGTTATTACAGGCTGTGGGTCCGATTCCCCTATTCATAACAGTGGCCCTTTGAGTGTAAATAGTTTACGATCAAAGCTGAAATAATCCTGTTTTTTCCTTTCATCCCCTTTGTATTTTTCAGGAGTAGCACAACTGGCTGACATGCCCTCTCCCCGGTTAGTAAAGACCCATCTTCCTGTTCAACTCCTTCCTGCCTCCTTCTGGGAAAACAACTGCAAGGTTATGATCATTTCTTTGTATCTCCGTAGTGGCAGCTCCAACCAACACAGACATCCCATCGTGCTCCGCTCTGTGAATACACATAGCAAGAGAAAATTCCTGCCCCTCAGAGTTTTCAATAGGCGAAGGAAGCACTGCTACCCTCATTTTGCCAATGGGAGACTGAGGCATGGAGAGATTAAGTGACTTGCCCAAAATCACATTGCGAATCTGTGAGAGAGTCATCCGCAGAACCAGGTGTCAAGTCGTGAGCAGCCTTTGCTCTGAGATTTTCCACTGAAATGTAATACTGGAATTTCCATAGGATTCTAGTGCAGCTGTGTGTTTAATTGTTGGGGTCTAATTTTTTAAACTCACAGAAAGATTCTCAGTGTCTAGATCAGACTGCCACTGTAAATACCGATAGTCACACAATGTATCTCTCAAGCAGCTGTGAAAGTAACTTAATGTCTTATGGGTTCTGTGCTATTGCCACCTGGGTCTCTACATGTTTTTTCAGTAGCTTCCTGCTGGCTTCTGCTGCAGCTCAACCAGCTCTTGCCACAGCCGTGCGCCAGGGCACACCCTCTTATTCTCATTTCTGGTCTCGTTTGCTTAGTTTCCCATCAGATAACATTCCTGAATTTCTACAAGCAATGCACTTTACCATCATATTTTGATACCATCAGCAGAGCTGCAGAGGAAGATTGCAGGCCCAGATTATAGTAGGAACACTGGGCATGTCTACACTGCAACCAAAGGTCGGACTGGCTTTTATCTCGCTAGCCTGGCTAAGAATAGCAGCGAAGCCATGGTGGTGCAGACTAACTACATACTGAAGATCCCTGGCATGCCTGTACAGGCCGTGTGGAAGCCCATGTCAAGTGTGTTCACTGTTATTTTTAGCTGTGTTAGCTAGTTAAAGCTAGAACGGGAACATCTTCCATGGGGTGTGATCACTCCTCCAGCTGCAGTGTGGACATACCCTGAGGGTGGAATCCTGGTCCTATTGACTACAGTGGGGCTAGGATTCCTAGGTTCTTTTCTAGACCACTGCAAAGGAAATTCTGATTGTTGCCAACAATTTGTTGGAGTCAATCTTCCTCTCCTCACAACACTTTTCCCAATTCTGCCACTCCTGCTCATTGTACGTCTCTTTACCTCAGTTTCCCCATCTGCAAAACTGGCCAAATACTACATTACGCAGGGCTGTAAAGTGCTGTGATCTCCCTGGTGAAAGTTTCTATAGAGCTGAAGAATAGCAGTGCAGCCTATTCTGCCACTAGCCTGCCAGTTGACTGTGACCTTGTGAATTTCTGCCATTTTCCTGTGGTTCTGAGTCATTCCTTTTCCCCAATTCTGAGAGATTTTCCTTTTAATGCCATGACTAAGTTGGGAAGGGATCCCTTTGTAGAGTGATCTCTCCAATGAGACTTAAAGTTACTGAAGAGAGTCCTACAAACACCTGGCGTGCCCTGAATGCCTGCTCGTTCAGTAGAACTGGTCGGAACTTTTTAAAAGTTTAGTTGCAGAATTGCTGGAAAAATAGAGTGTGTTCATAAATCTCCCTGCCTGCCTCTTTTTCGGCCCGTGATAGAACTCACTGAAATGTTTAGAATTCAAAATATGTCAGATTCTAATGAAAATACAGTCAGGGGGCGGGGAATCTGAAAATATTTGTGCAAATTTGTTTTCTTCTTTTTCAGTCAGTTTGGTTACTCTAACGCAGATTTGATGGCCCATGGTAAACATCCTGCTCTTCTTCACAGATGATCTACATGGCCCGAAATGCCAAGGATGTGGTTGTCTCTTATTACTATTTCTATCAAATGGCAAAGATTCATCCAGAACCTGGCACCTGGGATGAGTTCCTGGAGAAGTTTGTGGCAGGGGAAGGTAAAACTTAAAGCTACATTCTCCCTACAACACTGAGTTCCCCAGACCAGGGCACTGTGAAACCAAGGACGATGGAGCAGACTATCAGCTTCTCCAAAGATATTTATTTATACCACCTGGGGATCTTTTCTCATGAGTGTGTCGAAATTTTAGTTAGACAGAAGCCTTTATGGGACAAGATAAAAGAATATCAACACATCTTCCCTCAACCTCCACTTCTCAGTTTCTGGTCCAGAGCCAAGAAACCAGATCCACCTAGAACATCTCTGAGATGCTCAGGCAGTCAACTTTAGACATTGCCTAGGCAAACTATCTGTTCCTATGTCTGCGGGGCCAGGGGGACAATGATTTGTTTCAAAAGGAGTGTCTCAAGACATCCAGACTTCTTCACTTTCCCATCAACCCATTATCCTGACATGATTGTTGTTTGACATTTAGCAGAGGGGTAGCCGTGTTAGTTTGTTTCGGCAATAACAATGAAGATGCATCTGACGAAGTGGATCTTTGACCATGAAAGCTTATGCCCAAATGAACCTGTATGGGTTATTTTTTTAGATCCACTATTTAACCAGACCTCTTTGATGATTTGACATATGAAATGAGATTTTTTCTCTTTTCTCTCCTGCTCTTGTATGTTTGATTTAGTTGTGTTTGGATCTTGGCACGATCACGTGAAAGGCTGGTGGGAGAAGAGAAAGGACAAGCCCATTCTGTACTTGTTCTACGAGGACATGAAAGAGGTGAGGGAGGGAAACAACATAAACTGATGTAATGCTTCAGCCCCAAATTTGTAATTTGTTTGCATGACGTTGAAGAAGGTAGCATCTATTCCTAACAGCAGTACTTAATCAGAGAGCTAGAGATTCAGGCAGAGGGGTCGGATGTCACGGGTAATATGCTCAACTTCTGAAAAGAAGTATGTCACATCTGAGAATAGGCATTTTTCCAAGATCCAACTCTTATACATTCAAATAAACGAAATTAGCCAAGCAAAACCATTTGCAATAGCACTGATTCCTAAAAATATTTCACACACACACACACACACACACACACACACACACACACACACACACACACACTGTACTAGTATCGTTTGTTATTTTCCACATATTTCTGTATAACATCTGTCTTTCTTTCTAGGATCCTAAACGTGAAATACAAAAGGTGTTACAGTTTCTGGGCAAGGACCTGGAGGAAGAGGTGTTGAATAAAATCCTTCTTCACACCTCATTCCAGGAGATGCAGAAGAACCCCGCTGCCAATTATAAGATGGTATCAAACGGTTTTATGGACCACAGTGTGTCTCCCTTCATGAGAAAAGGTGGGAGCCCCTCCCAACAATTATAGCAGCATTTACACAAAAGGAGGAAGGGCTGGTAATGAGGAAGTAGGGTCAATACCAGCTATAATCTGAGGAAAAGCCAAGCATTAATTCCACTTCCACAGGTGAAGAAAATCTCAGGATCCAAGTTTTATTCTTTACCAGCCAAACTTGTCTAAAGACGGAGCTGCCTAGGAAAAGCATTGCTGAAAGAGAGATGGAACTAATGGGGAATTGGGGTGAAAAATGCCCAACGTTTTACTCAGCCCTAGTGAGATCTCTGAAAGAAGAAGAAGACTGAAAAAAGCAGAAGGGAGAAAGTCGATTATAGTTTGAATAGTTCCTTTGTTTTCATGGATTTATAGGCCAGAAGGGATCACTAGATAGTGATCATGTAGTCTGAACTCCCATATAATCTAGGCCATGGAATTTTACCCAGTGTTCCTGGTTTTCTCTTTCAGGTATTGTAGGTGACTGGAAGAATCACTTCACCATGGCCCAGAATGAGGCATTTGACTGTGACTATGAAGAGAAGATGAAGGGGTCGACACTGCGTTTCCGAATGGAGATTTGAGGCATCTCCCTTCTCCCATCTGGCTTATTTGTTTAGTTAGGCTCAGACAAATCAAATCAAAATCAAATTAAAGGGAGGCACCAAAGCAAACAGCAACTGTTAGTTACTCTGAATATGATTTTTTGCACCTGCTTCTATTTGTGTGGGCTCTTCAGTTCCGTAGCTCCCATTTGGATAATGCATTTGGGATTTCAAGCGCCTTTGACTGTCACTAGGACCAGAGATGGTTTGAGTTGTTGTGCGCTGAGATTCTCACCTGACTCCAGGGGTTGGGGCTTGAAGAAAACTCATGAAATATCATCTGTCATTTGGTAAAGTCATGACCGATGGCAAGAAGAAACTCCAGGAGAGCGATTATGCAGCTGCTCTCATTAACAAACAGCAAGCTATCAATGGGAATCTGGCCTTGATTATTAAGGTCTCATCAAGACCCACCACAATAAACTACTATACCTGAGAGGGTAAAGAGCTGAGCCTGCTGTGACTGAAACCGGCAGGTTCCCGGAAGCCTAGAACGGTGCCAAAACTGATGTGCAGACCGCTAGGTGCTTTGAGATGAATAGCACTGTAAGAGCTAGGAATTAAAGTAATACCCGGAACAGAGCCTTTCATTCCCATTGCAGATGCATGTCAAATGTGCCTGCCTTTGAGCACTCACGGACTAAAAGTCGTAAATTTGAGTTCGCTTTCTACTACCTGCATCATTGCTGGTGAACGCCCGTGATGTCTGCAGGCAGGTAGCCTGGGAGACTTCCAGGTGGTTTTGTAACATGACCTGCAACACGGCCACAGATTTGGCCAAGAACAGGGCTGGCCCCAGACCAAATGGTGCCCCGGGTGAGGCGCATCTTCAGTTCCTCCCAGTCCATTTGTTAAACTTTTGAACACTTTGTTTTGTATTGCATTTGTAACCCATTTCACAGCTTTGATGCATGATCCTCATGTATGATTTATGCCTGTCACGTAAGATGAGAAATTCCCATGCTAGGCTCTGTAAATCGGTATTGATGCATGCCATAGAGAAGCAAATAAAAAGCTGTTTCCTCTAAGCTTTATAGGATCATTTTAAGAACAACTGAAATGTACTAACAGCAAGTAGTTGAACTGAGAACCAACATTGATTGGAGCAGTCCTAAGACGTGTTACAGTAGGGGACCGCCTTAGACTATTCATGCATTTTTCTCACCTTTGCCCTCGTGCTGATACCCTGAGCCTAGGAGATGATCACTACTGCCTAAAGGTGGGCCTATGTTGTTCTGTCTCAGATATTTTCTCCTCACATTTGAACCTTGCTGCAATACTGAGCTCCTGAAGGCTTTTTTGGGGACATCTTTTATTTTCACTGTAGTATCAGGAAGAGGAAAAGTCTATGTTCTGCAGTCTTAGAAAGTAATCAAATATGCGTATAATGCATGGCAAGAGAGGTAACAGTATTCCTTTTATATTATTGCGTAGAAAGGCTTTGGACAGATATCTCTGGTGTCTCATTAGCTATGTCCTTTGTGAGTTGCTATTTACACTCTCCATGTCTTAAAACACAAGCACACTTTCACAGCATCACAGCTGGGCTCTCACTTGACTTTGTTCTCACAGACTCATGGGCAATGCCCCTTGCAAATCCATGGGTGTACAGTGGGTAACAGTCTAGGAGGCGGAAGCAAAATGTAGCTCTCAGAAAGTCTGGGAGGTTGCATGAGATTCTACAAAGCTCCAGAACATTCTAGGAGCTTAGTGAAAAGTGAATCCACATAGGGAATAGCCAAAACGTGCCACTTCAAACATTCTGTTTTCCCTTCTGTCACCGACAACTAAAACAGCTCCCTAGACCCAGCAGCAACATCAACTGCCCCTGAATACGACATTAGTCTAGAAGAAACACCTGTATTCCTCACCCCTCTTGGAACAGCCCAGGGAGACATGGGGATCCTAGCGTGGTCTCTCCTTCCTTCCCCAATGGGCCTCAAAGCTGAATGTATTCCTTCCTAGCCTTACGCAGAGCTTGTCTCTTACTATCAAGTCCCTCCCTCTCAGAGACACTGCTCAGAGTACTGGAATGTTTTCCCCCCCTTGGCTGCAGTCCTGAGGGTTTTTTATGTTCTCGTGGACACAATGAACCCGCCCCAATCCTTTCCCAATCTCCCGGGGCAGATCATGCCAAGTTCACACACAGCCGCTTTTCCTTCTCTTCACAGCAGCAGCACCAGAAGAGGAGAAAGGTAAACTGAGTCTTCAACTCTATGACCTGTAACTTTTAGCAGTTTGTTTATCTGTTCAAGAGCAGCCTGGCTGGTGTTGGTGGGACACACATCCAGGAAGAAACCCTTTTAATAGGATTTGATGTTGCAGACTTCCCAGGCTGGAATGTTCAGTGCAGAGAAGCAGTGTGCTCTCAGGATGGAAATGACTGCAGACGTTGTTTTAAAATGGATTTACAATTCTTTTGTGGCTTTGACACGTCTCATTTTGCTCTAGGGCAGCAGAAATGGTCAGTGTTACATACAGCAAGCTGGGCTTTTGTAAAAGCAGAGGGAGCTGGATAATGAATTGTCTGCTGGTTTATATAGAAGTTTAAGCTCCACAGTGGTAAATCACTTGCTAATGTACAATAGGGATAGAAATGTAGCCGTGTTAGTCTGGTGTAGCTGAAACAAAAAACAGGACTGTGTAGCACTTTAAAGAGTAACAAGATGGTTTATTAGGTGATGAGCTTTCGTGGGCCAGACCCACTTCCTCAGATCAAATAGTGAAGTTTTCTTCCACTATTTTCATGGGTCTGGCCCACGAAAGCTCATCACCTAATAAACCATCTTGTTAGTCTTTAAAGTGCTATATAGTCTTGCTAATGTACAGCATCCAGTGTTATTTGACTTGCTCTAGAACGTGTATGTGCCGCAGCTTTTGCAAGGAGATAACTGCTGCGAAGCAACTAAAATATTTTTCATTTGCTCTTTTCAGAGGAAAATCAAGTCTGAAGAGACAAAATTAAACTTTCCTCTCCTGTCTGGGGTGTTGGTGGGATTTCAGAGGGATCGAGAGGGATAATGAGAGGTGACACTGTCAGTAATTTGGGAATGCTTCAAAGCCACCTGATTTCAGGCAGACTCTCTCTCTCTCACACACACACTGAAGAACAGCAATGTTTGCCCTGTCACTAGCGAAATTTCCTTTCTCCTTGAAGTGTGTTGAAGACGCATCTTCGGAATCTGGTGCAATAACTTACTCCAGGTGCTGCATTCCTATGGCGTAACGCTTCATCGTTTGGGACTGAAGTTACTGTACTATCAGGTCTGTGCATTAGTACATGCTCAGTGTATGTAAGGAATAAGTGTGGAGTAATGGTTTCAGCACCTTTGCTTGATGAAAGCACTAGGAAGCAGCCTCAACAAACCAGGGGTCTCTCCTGGGAGAGGACTTATTACAAGATACTGTTAATATTATTTTCATTATGGTGACTGCTAGATAAGACAGCTCATTGTGCTAAGTGCTATTCAAACACATATCAAGGCAGTTTCTGCCCCCAAAGAGTCTAAACAGACAAAGCATGTGAGAAAGGCACTACAGTAAAACGCCAACAGTCCGGCATCCAATAGTCCGGCATCCAATAGTCCGGCACTCCTGATAGTCCGGCATCAAAATGGCAAGAGCCTAGTAAGTGAGCTTCAGCAAAAAAATGAGTCACAAGGTAACAGCGGCTGCAGTTGAACTGAGCAAAAAGGGTAAAAAAGGCTTAAAAAAACTAAAACATTACAGTATACTTACAGTATACTGTATGCAGTATGTACAATAAAAAGGGTTAAGAACACTTTATATACAGTATATAATGTATACAATATATATATAACCATTTTATAGTATCTCCCGATAGTCCGGCATATCTGATAATCCGGCACCACCTAGGTCCCATAGGTTCCGGATTATCAGAAGTCTACTGTATTATCTTCTCCACTGTGCAGATGGGGACTAGAGGCACACAGAGATTAAATGGCTTATCCAAGAACAAGATACAGCTGAAAACAGACTCCAGGTTTCCTGTGTCCCCACCCATCACATACAGCAGGATCACAGTACGTGGGTCTGACCTGCTACAGAGATTTGTTCTTTTGCTTCTCTCCAATCTTTAAAAGCAATTTGTGTGATACTGAAGAACAAGCTGCTTTGTTCTTTCAGGTAATAAAAATGGTGGCATGATTTTGGTGGGGGAGACCCGAGAGAGCCTGCAAGTCACACTTCTGCAGGCCCCAACTCCATGTACACTTTTGTTGTGACAAATGAGTCCATTAATGGGAAAGCTGAGCAACAAACTTATTTATGGCATGCGGCTGTCTATCTAATGTTATGAAATGTGGTTTGGTGGATGCTCATCAGAAATGTCATTGCTGCCTTGTTTTTTAATTGAAACAAAGCCAAGGGCATGCATGATTAAATACATGGAGAAGGAGAGGAAGAAAGAAAAGAAAAAGAAAAATCCCCTCTGGCTACATCTACACTACTAGGTTATTTCAAAATAAGCTTATTCCTCTTCACAAGCAGGCGTTATTATTTCAAAACAGGCTTGGTAGTATGGGCGCTTGCCTTGTTATTTCAAAATAAAGGGAGTGATTTTGAAATAACTCCCCAGTGTAGACATGCCTTCACATTCCAGAGTGTCAGAAAGCACTGGGAACATAACAGTTTCTTGTCCAGCTGCTCTCCCGTCTATGCTCTGTTGAACTCTCCCCCACAGCTTGGCTTCACCAGAAGATTGGCAATTGTAGAACCACACCCATCATTGCATGAGGGAGGGGTACAGCTGAAATCTATATGGGAGCTAAAGCTGCTGTGGTCACAGTAAACCTCCACAGAAAGCTGAGAAATCTAGGGGGTAGATCTGCTAAGGGATGTTAAAGGCCTTGAGGGAGCGATAACATTCAAAGGCAGGAAGAAATCAAACCATTCAGCTGCAATCTGCAGGGCTGGCTTCATAATCTTTCAGAAGAAGCCACATGGGGCAAGTCTGGGAGTGGAGTGTGTATACAGAGTTTAACCTGTATAGCTGGGATGGTTATTTTCTTTGTGTAGAGAATTCTTTGGTTATTCTTCCCTTAAGGCAAGGTTTTTGTTGAGCTCTCATGGAAATTAAAAGCAGCTACACTAGCCATATGGCTACCCAGCCAGACTCCACATGAAGGGGATGGGTGTGTGTGTGTGTCTAAGGACTGTTATTTATACCTTTCCACAGCACCACCTGGTGCTCAGAGAAAGCCACAGCTTTGGCTTCTAATTGAAGAGCAAGAAAGTGATTAATATTACTGGGTTGGTTAGTTCTATCTTTGTTTTGTTAGGCCCTAGAGAATTGGGCCTAGTGCAGTTATGTTAAGACAGATCAAGGAAAGAGGTTAACAAAGGTTTCTGGGTAGTTCCTGAACAGAACTAGAAATATGACTCAAGCAAGGGGAAATCCCTACATACTTGCTTAAGTTGCAGAATAAAGTAAGTGAAAGGTTGCGCCTGTGATGAGAACAGCTAATTTGAGAACTGATAAGGTAACTTCTTGTTTCTGTTCTCACCCTGATCTTAACGAACTGTCTCTGCCCTCTGTTTGTTTTAACTCCCTGTCTCCTTGTTGTTTGGTACTTGCCTTCTGGGCTGATAAGAAAGCTGTTGATGCATTATGAATTGCTTAAGGCCATGAAGTATACGCATTAACACTAGCAGCTTCTAACTAATTAAGGGGGGCTGAGATGCTTGGGCAAATGTTTTATGATGTGAGGGAACTGTCTATATAATCTTACTTGTTACTGAAATTGTGGCTGGTTCACTTGGGAGATGGGCTGCTCTCTATTGTAGTGCGCACTATTCAATAAAGAGCTTGTGATTGGATCTTGCTGGTGTTGCCTGTCTCTTTGCGGTCAAACAATGAACGGAGGCCGTCCGGGTTTGAGTCCCCGACGGTTTGCTTTGGATTTGGGGCAGTTTGTTGTAAGGGGCCCTTATTTCCTCATGGCTGGAGGGAGCAAGATGAGTGGGTGTTTTAAGAGGGGTAAAAATGGGTTGCTTAGGCAGGGGGTGG